TGCCTCAGTCTCCCAAGTAGCTGGGACTACAGGCGTGCACCATCACGCCTAGCTAATTTTTGTATTTTAGTAGAGATGGGGTTTCACCATGTTGGCCAGGATGGTCTCGATCTCTTGACCTCGTGATCCGCCCACCTCAACCTCCCAAAGTGCTGGGATTACAGGCTGAGCCTCCACGCCCAGGCCAATTTTTTCATTTTTAATAGAGATGGTGTTTCATCCTGTTGCCCAGGCTGGTCTCCAATTCCTTCAATCAAGCAGTCTGCCCACCTTGGCCTCTCAAAGTGTTGGGATTACAGGCATGAGCCACTGTGCCCAACCAATTTACTGTATATTGAACTTGTGTATTTTATTTATTGTCTGTAAACTCTCTAGAATATAAGCTGCTTTTTTTTTTTTTTTTTTTTGAGACAGAATTTCGCTCTTGTTGCCCAAGCTGGAGTGCAGTGGTGCTATCTTGGCTCCCCACAACCTCCATCTCCTGGGTTCAAGCGATTTTCCTGCCTCAGCCTCTGGAGTAGCTGGGACTACAGGCGTGTGCTGCCACACCTGGCTGATTTTGTATTTTTTGTAGAGATAGGGTTTCTCCATGTTGGTCAGGCTGGTCTTGAACTCCCGACCTCAGGTGATCCACCCACCTCGGATCCACCCCCTTAGCCTTCCAAAGTGCTGGGATTACAGGCGTGAGCCACTGCGCCCGGCTGAATATAAGCTTTTTAAAGGGTTTTGTCTCTTCACTGCTCTATACCCAGCACCTAAAACAGTCTGACCAATAGCAGGGACTCAATAAATATTTGTTGAATGATAAATTTCTAAAGATAGTCACTGTTGGTTTTTCCAGTTTTTTCTCCTCTGCCTAAATATATTTATTACTGTTCTCAAATAAACATGGTCGTAATGTTTTGCTTATCTGCTCTTTTCATTTAATAGCACCTGATTATCTTTCCTTGTTAGGGTTTCACCTCATTTTCTAGGCCATGCTGATGTTTGCTGGCCTAACAAATGGTTGTGATTCAAGAGGCGAAGGCTCTGGGCGCCTCTTGCTCTCTGCCGGCTCCACCACACTGCCATGTGGGCAGGAGGGTTAGAGTCATGCCAAGGCCTGGCCAAGGCCACTCCCGCCCTCTGACATCAGACTGTGGCCCCTAGATCCTGCTTGGTGGTGAACCCGGTGCGTCAGAACCCAGGGATTAAATCGCTTTGGAAATCCACCAGCTTGTCCTTGACCAGCCAGAGGGCCAGGGCACATGCCCAGACCTCCTGCCAGCTCAGGGATTATGGAAAACACCATCCATGCAGACATTCAGGGCAGCTGCAGAGAGCCCCCCACAGGGAGCCACAGCCCAGGCCCAAGACGATTGTCCTGGCTCAAAGTGCTCTGGAGACCTGAGCTCCCGAGACAGGGGTTGGGGTAGGTTAGGGGCTGGGGGTGGTCAGAACGTCTCCAGGCACCCAGCTAGGGGCCGGGGAATCTGCTCTGCCAGCTGTTTCCCTGGTGGGAAGCAGGTGGCCTCCACAGGCCTCTGGGGGACCCCATATGTGGAGGTAGGCAATGCTGTGGTATGGCGGGGGAGGGAGCAGGGGTATCCTTTCTCTGCAGCCAGGGGCCATCTGCTTTCAAAGCCAGCCACTTGTCCTCCTTCCTGGTAGCAATATGGAGCCACCCAGACTCTGCTAGACATATGAGTGGTAAAGATAAAAATATTCAAAGGACATATGCCTTCTGTGAACTGCTTTACTCAATGCGCTCGGGAGTCCTTCGGCTTCCTTCTAAAATACAGCGTCACTCCCACCCCCACGGGCCCCACCTCCACAAAGAGGCAAGGAAGCTGTTATGGCCTTAGACATGCTGTGCTCGCAAGGGCGTAGTGTGTGGATGCAGGTGCTCTGAGCACGCACCTGTACCTGTCTTCTGCGTGCACACCCCAGTGCGTGTACGCAAGTGCTGTGTGCGCGTCTGTGCATGCTTCGGCTGGTGTGTGTGGATGTGTGTGTCTCCATCCGTGTTTCCATGTGTTGTGTGTGTTTGCTTTCTGGGGAACGAGCACCCATGGGCTTGCACGGGCAGGTGTGTGTGTGTGGGTATGCGCCTGGGGTGTGCATGGGTGTGTGCTTTTCTGTATTCGAGTGTGCCCAGAAAGAGATGTGTGTACGTTCTTCCATGTGCGCTTGTGTGTGTTTCATGTGAGCACATGCTTGCATGTGAGCTTTTTGTGTGTGTATCTGGGTATGTGCCTAGGTAGGTGCACACATGTGCATGAGCCCAGGCATCAAGCTCTGAGAAAAGAGAAGAATGTTAGTCCCACACCTGCTTAGTCGATGGGCTTCTCCCACCCCCTACCCACCCTCATTCTGTTGGCAGGACTGGGGTTTTAATAAATCTCTTACGGGTCTTACGGGTGAGGTGGCCTCTACTTTTCTCACACTTTTTTTTTTTTTTTTTTTTTTTTGGAGACAGAGTCTCACGCTGTCACCCAGACTGGAGTGCAGTGGCGTGATCTTGGCTCACTGCAACCTCCGTCTCCCAGGTTCAAGTGATTCTCCTGCCTCAGCCTCTGGAGTAACTGGGATTTCAGGTGCATGCCACCACGCCCAGCTAATTTTTTGTATTTTTAGTAGAGACAGGGTTTCACTGTGTTAGCGAAGATGCATTTGATCTCCTGACCTCACGATCTGCCTGCCTCCACCTCCCAAAGGGCTGGGATTGCAGGCGTGAGCCACCACGCCTGGCCTTCTCATACCTTCTTATACAATCAAGCGCTACATAACATTTTGGTCAACTACAGACTGCAGCTACAGTGGTGGTTCCCTTAGAGTATTATTATTATTATTATTTGAGACAGAGTCTTGCTCTGGTTGCCCAAGCTGGAATGCTCTGGCACAACCTCGGCTCACTGCAACCTCCGCCTCCCGGGTTCAAGCGATTCTCCTGCCTCAGGCTCATCAGTAGCTGGGATGACGGGGGCCCGCAACCATGCCTGGCTAATTTTTTGTATTTTTAGTAGAGACAGGGTTTCACCATGTTACTCAGGCTGGTCTTGATCTCAGGTGATCAACTACCTCAGCCTCCCAAAGTGCTGGGATTACAGGCATGAGCCACCATGCCCGGCCCCATAAGATTATACCATAAGATTATAATACTGTATTTTTACTCTACCTTTTCTATGTATAGATATGTTTAGATACACAAATACTGTTGTGCCATAATCGCCCACAGTATTTATGCAGTAGGAAGCTCTGTGCGTGTGTAGCCTAAGAGCAATAGCCTGGGTGTGTGATAGGCCATACCGCCATCTGGGTTTGTGTAAGTGCACTCTGTGCTGTTCATACAATGATGAAATTGCCTGAGGATGCATTTCTCAGGACGTATCCCCCTTGTTGAGTGGTGCCTGGCAGTACTTACTCATCCTCCTCTTTTTTTTTTTTATTTTGAGACGGAGTCTTGCTCTGTCACCCACGCTGGAGTGCAGTGTTGCAATCTTGGCTCACTACAACCTCTGCCTCCCGGGTTCAAGCAGTCTCCTGCCTCAGTCTCCTGAGTAGCTAGGATTACAGGCATACCACCATGTCTGGCTAATTTTTGTATTTTTAGCAGAGACGGGGTTTCACCACGTTGGCCAAGCTGGTCTTGAACTCCTGACCTCATGATCTACCCACCCCTGCCTCCCAAAGTGTTGGGATTACAGGCGTGAGCCAACACTCCCGGCCTCATCCTCCTCTTAAGTTTTCCCAAACTCTGCCTGCGATGGTCCAGCACCCTCCATGCCTGTTCACTGGCTCAGTGTTTTGGAGCCCCCTAGCCCTGTGAGATACTCTGGAAGAAAAGGGCTCCTGAGTCCACGGATGTCTAGTAAAAGCTGCACTCATTACACCTTCATGGACAGTCATCATATAGCCAAGCTTATGAAAGGTCCTGAGAAGTCCCAAAGTAAAGAAACCTGCTTAAGTTAGTTCATCACAGAGGTTCCTGGAATTCTTGGCTAGTGGAAGCTGATTGGAAGGCATAACGCCTTGAAATCCGCATCCCGTGTGCTGTGGGAGTGGCTCCCTGTGTTCAAGCGGCCTCTGCTGCGTCTCCAGCAACTGTGCGCATGTTTTCAAGCGTCTGATTGAGGAGCGCTACGCACACGGGCTGGGCCACCGCAGGGGTGGGGTACCCTCGAGGCTTCTGGGGACCACAGGGAGCCTGGCCTCGCTCTGAGAAGCCAAGTCAAGGGGCGCGTCTCCAGATTTGGCTGAGGCGAGGCCTCACACCCAACCCCGCAGCCTCGGAGCCAGCCAGGGTCCATCGGCGCCTCCTTGCACTGGCCCTGTCCTGGCTGTCAGGGCGGAGGATGCCACCGGTCTCAAGACCCAGAGCGGCGGCAAGAACAAGGGAGACTCAGCCATTTGGGCCAATGCCCCAGGGACTAGAAGCCGGGGTTCCGACTCCAGGGCGCTTGCTCTGCCCTCGGCGTTTGCCCTCCTAGGCCAGGTGCCCATCCCTCCCGTAGCCCTAAGACTTCTGGTGGCCTCCTGAGGCCCTCAGAACACTGGGGTCAGACATCCTGAAGCCCCAGCCTGGGGTGGGGGGTGGGGGACAGAAGCCTTGCAGCCAGTCCCACTGCTGATCTGACCACTGCTCTCAGAGAACTATAGGGTCAGGAAGGCCCCTGCACCCCGCCCCTCACACCATTAAAAGCAGATACTTAAAATTATGCAAGAAATGCATGAACCTCGTCACTTCAGATGATTCAGACAGTACAGAAGTAGGATGAAAACACGGAGCTCTGTTTTGCTTCTCCCCACCCCGTGGATTTTTAAAAACTCAAGTTGAATCATATTCTGTTATTTTTCTATTTTTCTATGACTTTGTGTTAAAGAAATTTGACAGTCTGATACATGTTAATACATCTTGATCTACCTTTTTTTTTTTTTTTTTAAATCATCTACACAATATTCCAGGGTGTTAATGTCTCCCTCATTCTCTCTCTCTCTGTCTCTGTCTCTCTCTCAACTAGGTCTCCCCTCTGTCACCCAGGCTGGAATGCAGTGGTGCGATCACAGCTCACTACACACTCAGTTCAGCACACAGGAATCAGAGTCGAAGAAGAAAAAAACCAAGGAGCAGACTGAAGTTCCGAGAGGTCACCCAGGCGGCTGCGACCAGAACGGCCCCCGGGTCTCCAGGTGCCCCCCGGCCGGCCCGTGTCCGTTCAGCTCCTGCCTCCCGGCCCTGGGGCCTGCGCTCCCCGGGGCCATCCTGGGCCCTCCCGAGCTCTGGGCGGGTCCAGCCCCCGCCTCCTGCGGCCCCCGCGGCTGCAGAGCTGCCCGCGCCTCGGAGGAACCAAAAAAAGTCGGCGCGTGGTGCACGCGCGAGCGGCGCTGGGCCCGGCGCTGCCGTTTTTAGTGTGCCTGGATCCCAGAATATAGACTTCATCACCCCCAAGAAACGCGGCCATAATATTTTTGGTTACATAAGCAAACGAAATTAGAAATTTGGAACGTGTTCAAGACCTTTAGATCCGAGCGCTCCGCAGCGCGGGGGACCAGGGGAGAGACAGATGGGGATTAGGCGAGTTGAGCATCAGGAGAATAATTTCCTCTTTTAATTTGGGTTCCATCGACAAGTAAAACAGTATTAGCCGCCCGGTTACGTAACCGGCGCCAGAGCCGGCTCTGATAAGCGGCCGCAGCGAGCCAGCCCGGCCCTGCGGCCTCTGCACCCCCCGGCCGGGCCCCGACGGCGGGGGGAGGGCGGGCCTGCGGACCTCACCACGTCAGCCAGCCGCCGGGCTGCTAAACAGGGCTATTGTTAGCTGGGCTCGTCACAGCCGTTCTCCGAGAGCTCCAGCGAGTTGGCTCAGGCCACACAGCCCGCAATTTGCAGGCAGGAGGATTTGCACTCCTGGCTTGCTTGAAAGAGGCTCTCTCTAGGACCAGGGAGTGGAGTGTACCCCAGCCCTGCAATTCCGTGGAGTGCTGAACGCTGCCTGAGGATGCCCTTTGCAAGATTGTATACAATAATTAAAACTGGAAGTTGCCAAAATATTTGACGATATGGAGAATGGTCACGTGAACTTTGCAGCATCCATACCATCGCAAATTATAGAGCATCTTTTTAAAAAGGCTGTGCGTGGTGGCTCACGCCTGTCATCCCAGCACTTCGGGAGGTCGAGGCAGGCGGATCACCTGAGATCAGGAGTTCAAGACCAGCCTGGCCGAAATGGCGAAACCCCGTCTCTACTAATAACACAAAACTAGCTGGGTGTGGTGGCAGACGCCTGTAATACCAGCTACTCAGGAGGCTGAGTCAGGAGAATCACTTGAACCTGGGAGGCGGAGGCTGCAGTGAGCCGAGATCGCACCACTGCACTTGAGCCTGGGTGACAGAACTAGACTCCATCTCAAAAAGAAAAAAAAAAAAAAGAAAGGCTGGGGATGTGGTGGAAAGATGTCCTAGACATAGAATTAAGTGAAAAAGAGAAAGTTGCAAAAACATGAACAGTATAATTTTATTTGTTAAAAAATAAACCACGTATCCCCTCCTTCTGAGAAATCTGTAGGTGCATAAAAAAGGCTGCCAGGGCAATCGCTGAACGGATGGAGGCAGTCCCCTTCGGAGGGAGGCAGGGCATAAAGGAAGGTTGTGGTGAATTTCATGTTTTACTCTGCATATTTCTGTAGTATTTGAGTTTCTCACACCAGAATGTACTGTGTGTGCTTGTGTCATTAAGACACTAACTCCCAAAGACATGAAGGCTGGAGGCAGCTTTGCAGAATGGGGCTGGCCCGTGCTTCCAGCTGCCTTTTCAGAAAGCAAGTAGGAATTATGGAGATGCCTAAAGTTAGAGCAGAAGGTGGGAGGCGGAGAGGAACTTAAAGAATATCTGGCCCAGCACTTCGTTCTCTGGGTAGGGAAACCAAAACCCAGGACAGGAGAGGGACTTGTCTCAGCATCTCATGCCAGCTGGCAGCAGGCACACGGAGGCAGAAGCTATGGGTTTTTTAGCCTGTGTTCTTCCACCACCAGACCACTCTGCCAACCCTCAAATGTGCTGGAGTCACGGAGGTGCAGGAGAAAGGCAGGAAGAAAAGAATTAAGTATTGGCCGGGTGCAGTGGCTCATGTCTGTAATCCCAGCACTTTGGTAGTCCAAGGTGGGAGGGTTGCTTGAGCCCAGGAGTTCCAGACCAGCCTAGGCAATATAATGAGACCTCGTCTTGAGCCCGGCAGGTGGCGGCTGCAGTGAGCCAAGATGGTGCCCCTGCACTTCAGCCCAGGTGACAGAGTGAAGACTCTGTCTAAACAAGCAAGCAAATAAACAAACAAACAAAAAACAAAAAAAGAAAAGAACTAGGTATTCATGGGGCAGGATAGGGATAGGTAGGGAGAAATTTGGCATCTGTGTCTTCAACTGTCCATGCAACAAACGTGTTGAGGTTCTGGTGGTTTTAAAGCATGTCTGCAAATTCTTTAACACCCTTCCCATTGAAAGGCAGGGCTTCTGTCCCTTCTGCTTGAATCTGGGCTGACCTTAGCCACTCACTCGTAACACATAGAATGTGATGGAAGTGATACTGTGTGACTTTCTTTCTTTCTTTCTTTTTTTTGAGATGGAATTTCGCCCTTGTTGCCCAGGCTGGAGTGCAATGGCACAATCTCGGCTCACTGCAACTTCCGCCTCCCAGGTCCAAGTGACTCTTCTGCCTCAGGCCCCCAGGTAGCTGGGATTACAGGCATGCGCCACCACACCCAGCTAACTTTGTATTTTTAGTAGAGACAAGGTTTCTCCATGTTGGTCAAGCTGGTCTCGAACTCCTCATCTCAGGTGATCTGCCCGCCCCAGCCTCCCAAAGTGCTGGGATTACAGGCATGAGCCACCTCACCTGGCTGCGACTTTCAAGGTTAGATTAGATAAGCAAACACATCTTCCTCCTGGTTTTCTTGGGACGCTGGCTCCAGGGGAAGTCTGACTCCCCTGAGATTGCCGTGCCAGAGAGGACACGTGTAAAGCCTCAGCGGAAAGCTAGGTCAACCCCCAGCCAATCGCCAGCATCTACTGCAGGCTATGGCAAAACCCAAGCCCATCTGCATGCACCCCCTTGAGACTTTGGGTGACTGCAGCCCATGGCAGAACTCAAGTGAGAACTGCCTGGCTGAGGCCTTCCCAAATTCTAGACCCACAAAACCGTGAGCACTTTTAAGCCACTAAATTATGGGATGATTTGTTACGGAGCAATAGTCTCTGCACAGGGGGTTACTCTGGGCCAGGCACTGTGCACAGAGGGGTAGAGCAATGAATAAGCATGCAGAAGCCAGACACTAAGCAGATAATTATGAAATAATGTGGTAACTACAGCGATGGAGTCATGCATGGGTCAGATGGGAGCAGAGCTGAAGAGTCTGTAATCTAGGCTGGGTGTGGTCTGAAAAGTTTTCTTGGAGCAGGTGACATTGAAACTGGATTTGAAGGGTGAGTAAAGGTTGGCCAAGTAAAGGGGTGAGCTGAGGAAAAAAAGGCTTTCAGGCAGAAGAAGTAAGGCCTGGAGGTGAGACAGAGAATGACGCTGGTCAGGAGACTCTTTATGACACAGGAGACAGAACAGGAGATGACACTGAGCAGGTCGCAGGGACTCCAGATTGTGGGAGCCTTCAGGACAGGCCAACGGGTTGGACAGAAAGCAACTGGGAGGCTTGAAGGTGGGGGCGGGAGATGGAGCCTCCTGGGAGCAGCATTGGGAGGATGATAAGAGGGAGAGAGAGGAGGATAGAACAGCGAGGAGAGAGAAACTCAGGAAGAGCTTGGGGATTCCCAGGCTAATTGGGCAGAAAGGGTTGGGAGAGACGGTATCTGAGAAAAACATAGGAAATAAATAGTCAGGCCTGCGTGCCCATCTGGGAGTGTCATGGGCAATTCTTGGGCTCCCTTTTTGGGTGACCAGGCTGGCAGCGGCACCATCAGCTTAGACAGCCCTGGAGGAAAAGTGGGTATGAGAAAAGGAGGGTCTGGCTTGGCTTTTTGCAGGCCTGGGTGGAAGCATCTAGTAACCCATGATATGTAGGAATCCAAAGCTTGGGGAGGAGCCTGGGGAAGTGTGGAGATAGCAGACACTCCTGAAAATGTGTTGAATGAATCAGTGAATGGATGGATGGATGGATGGGCACGCACACACGTGATTGTTCAGTTCGTTCGTTAGGATAGATACGGTGGGCCAGGGTTGTGGGACAGGCTCTATTGCTGAAATTGAGCGGTGTTGGTAGGGGCCAAGTGTGATGACCAAGGTGTTAATGATCCATGGTCCAAGTTCCTGGAATGTGTCTCACAATGTACGCCACAAGAACGCGCGAAGGAAAATACAGAAGTTCAGGAAGTCAGATAGGTTCAGTTCCAAAAAACATTCATTTAGGGGCTACCATGTGCCTGGCACTGTGTTTCATGTATATTATTCAATTTAGTCCTTAGGTCAACCCATTCATTGATCCAACAAATATTTTTTGTGTACCTACTATGTGCCAGGCACTGGGCCAGATTCTGGGTATACACCGGTGGATAAAGCAAACACTGTCTTTTCCCCTGAGGAGCTTAGGATCTAGTGGGGGTTATGTTTCCCTTTTTACAAAAGCACAGAGAGAGTAAGTAACCTGCCCAAGGTCACACAGCCAGGCAAGATTATACTGTCTGACTCCATGTCCAGGATGCTTCAGGGCACCTGCATGTGGCAGCTGGCAGAGGAAACGAGGGCAGGGGCAGAGGGCGACCTGACTGCAAGAGCTCAGGTCTGCAGGGAATCTCAGAACCACTCGGTGAACTTGGGCTGGACCAGACGCCCATTTCGGGGAACTTGGGCTCAATCATAGGAATTTAGGAGGACAGTGGGACCCCTGTTATCAAGACACACATATTGGGGCCGGGTGCAGTGGCTCACACCTGTAATCTCAGCATTTTGGGAGGTCGAGGTGGATGGATCGCCCGAAGTCAGGAGTTCGAGCCCAGCCCGGCGAACATGGTGAAACCCTATCTCCACTAAAAATGCAAATATTATCTGGGCGTGGTGGCATGCGCCTGTAGTCCCAGCTACTTGGGAGACTGAGGCAGGAGAATTGCTTGAACCCAGGAGGCAGAGGTTGCAGTGAGCCTGGATTGCACCATTGTACTTCAGCCTGGGCAGCAGAGCCAGACTCTGCCTCAAAAAAAAAAAAAAAAGATGCATCTTGGGGTGGGGGCCAAGATTTTGGGGGCACAGACAAGGCCCCAGGTACAACTTGAGTGCCCCCTCTTAATGATGGTGATGGTGACCCATGAGTATCTGCCACACACAAAGCTAAATGCTTTCCAGGTGCAGCTCATTTGATCCCCAAAGCAACCCCTTACTAGCCCATACTACATTTGAAAATACTGAGACTCCAGAGGGGTTGGTAACCTGTCACACAGCCAGGAAGTGGCAAAGCCACAGGAGTGGGCCCAACAGGCTCCAGAGTCTGGGCTTCTGCCACTATTCACAGTGCCTCAGAGTTCACATAGGAATCAGAGTTCACATAGGAATTAGACTCTGCCTGCACCCATGGGTGGGTCTCAGAGTCCAGCTTTGAGGAGCTGGGGATGGCACAGACCTGTGGTCAGACCGGGAACGAGCCGGGCCTCCTTCCTGCCCCCTCCTGGGGCTGAGCTGTCTACCTCCCTAGGCTTCAGGGTCCTCCACCTCCCGACTCTTAGTTGTAAGACCTGGACTGTCTCTTCTCCAGCTCCTAGAATAGGGTGGACACGGGAGCTCAGCATGTCTTACCTTCACTCACTTTGCAGATGAGGAAACTGAGGCATAGAGATACGGTGTTAGTTACCTAAAGTCACTCTGCAAATAAGCGACAGAGCTGGGGTGAGATGATGGGTCCCTTGGGTTTCAGACTAACATGCCCCACTCCTTCTAGACTAAGAGCAGGGACTAAGCTCACCGTCACCTCCAAAGAACGCACAGGGTCCTTTCCCCGTGTCTCCTGTCTTCCTTTGAAAGTACTGACCTGAGTTCCTGTTCCTAAAGCTCCTGTCCACTCACACCTGCCCACGAACAGGACGATGGACACTCAATGGCGCCAAGCAGCTCAAATCAATGAGTCTCAGGCCA